ACCAATTTTTGCTTGAGGTTTATTGAGTCAGAGGGGAGTATAATTACTCTTAATGAGTTTAGGATTCCTTTTCTTTAGAATATCAGTTTCCCTTCTTTCACTTTCAGTTTATTTATATCTTTGCCAGCAATGTGAGTTTTGTTCAGGCAGAAAATTGTTCAGTTTTTTTTCTTCTTCAATCCAATTGGCAATTCTGTGTCTTTTAGTTGCAGATATAAGACCATCCATATTCAGGGTTATTATCGAAAGTTATATACTCCTTCTGGTGTTTCTGTTCTTTTCTTCTGGCTGTTTTGAACAATCTATGTGTGCTTTCTTTTCCCTTATTCATCTTAGAGGTTTGATGGTTCGCTGAATTCATCATGTTTGATTTTTCCCCCATTCTCATTTGCTTTTCTATACTTTTAGTACTTATAGTTGTATTTATTATTTTCTGCACTCTTATGACTGTATTTGTTTTGTTTATTGTTCTCTGGGTAGGAGTCTTTAAGTATGTTCTGTAGTGCTGATTTAATGACTATGGATTCTTTTTAATGTTTATCTTGGAAAGTCTTTGTCCTTCAATTCTGAAAAATAATTTTGCTCTATATAGCAGAATTATTTATTTATTATCAGTACTGGGGTTTGAACTCAGGGGACTTGCTCTCTACCACTTGAGCCACATCTCCAGCCTGAGATTGTATTATTGATTTCTTTTGTGGCTACTTTGTTATTTGTGAACAGAAATGACCATTCTTGTACATTGATTTTATATCTTGCAAATATATTTAATTAATTTAATTGTTACAAATATTTGGGTTTTCTGTTTGTAGTATATTATCTTAAAACAGTGATGATTTTGCTCATTTCTTTCAGATTTATGTGCCTTTTATTTCTTTTTATTGCATGATTGCTTTTGTTAAGATTTAAAGTACTATGTTGGATAGAAGTAGTCAGTTTGCACATTGTCTTGTATCAGATCTTAGAAGCAAAATGTTCAATTTTTCCCAATTGATTATGGTGTTAGACATGATGCTTTCTATATATGGCCTATAATATTAAGAAAATTTCCTTTTATATCTAAACTACAGAGAGTGTTTTAGGTATGTCTCTCTGTGTAGCCCAGGTTAGCCTCCAATTTTTGATCCTCCTGCTTCAGCCTCCTGAGTGTAAGAAATCCTGAAAGATTTTTATCAACAGAAAATTTGGGGCATTTTAAATGCTTTTTTTGTATCAATTAAGATGAGCATCCCCTTTGCTTGTGAAATAGGATTCTCAGATATTTGCTGTTGTATTTGTTGTTGGGAGCTTTAAGGAAACAGGCTAATTTTTACCTTTTAATTCCTATTATGACTTTCATTAATGTACATGACTTTTTATTAAGGCAGGTATGACCATGTGTCCTGGAATTCCTTGGCTGGGATAACTGAGTATCTAAATTTTGAATTATTTGATCTTATTCAGGCTATTGCTTTGGCAGAATAAGACATTCATGGAACGAGCTCATCACAGTGGTAGTGTGAAGTGACTTGTGTAAAAATTTAATGTTAAGTTTTCCTTTTGTTTGTTATCCTGTTCATGTCCCAGTGAATGCATTGCTACCTTGAGCTGAGTTTTAAGCCAGGCAGGGGAAGATCACAATGATAGCAACAATGGTATGAGTTATGTGAGTGTGGTTTGGACTGACAAACTGACATTGTGAAGAAAATCTGGACTTCTCTTTGAAACAGGGAATTCCCCTTTCTCTTGTGATTCTTGATTCTCAGAACTTATCTGTATTTGAGTATGTACAGAGATTTTTAGCCACTCGTGCTGATCCATTTGCCATCTTCTTGAGACTAAATGCAACAAATTAAAGTTGTTGCTATTCTCTGGACATCCATATGTTTACTGTATATGATAGTGAATCTATTCATGTTTTTTGCAGTGTTAGGAATCAAACACAAGGCCTTGTGCATACTATGCAAATTCTCTACCACTGGGCTAGATTTCCAGAAAAAGCTCATGTGTTTGCTGTGTAGGATAATGTCTATTTATTTATTTATTTAATTATTTATTTATTTTTCTTTTATTATTCATATGTGCATACAAGGCTTGGGTCATTTCTCCCCCCTGCTCCCACCCCCTCCCTTACCACCCACTCCGCCCCCTCCCTCTCCCCCCACCCCCTCAATACCCAGCAGAAACTATTTTGCCCTTATTTCTAATTTTGTTGTAGAGAGAGTATAAGCAATAATAGGAAGGAACAAGGGTTTTTGCTGGTTGAGATAAGGATAGCTATACAGGGCATTGACTCACATTGATTTCCTGTGCGTGGGTGTTACCTTCTAGGTTAATTCTTTTTGATCTAACCTTTTCTCTAGTTCCTGGTCTCCTTTTCCTATTGGCCTCAGTTGCTTTTAAGGTATCTGCTTTAGTTTCACTGCGTTAAAGACAACAAATGCTAGCTAATTTATGCCTTCAGACTTAGGTATCACCACTATAGTCTTAAAATTTCTTCATACATGTGAACATACAGTATGTTGAATAAACAGAATCTTGGGGTTCTGTTTCAGTAAAATAAAGAAAAAGAATGTGCTGTTAACTTTTTACTCTTGTGTTTTCCTATGATTCTTCCCCTCCTCAACCTTCTTGTGCCCCTGTCAATATTCCAATAATTCTTCTCTTCTCATGGCAGATTATTAAAATATAGACAACACCAAAGTCAAACATTTCTGGTTGGCTGAAACCTAGCAAATAGCTAGCTTCCCCATCTTTTTTTGTTTGCTGGCAAAACAATAATCCTGTTTCACATTTAAACTAACTTTTGAGTAAGTGCTGAGATAGTGTAGAATGACACTTCTGGTTCCATAGAAATTGAAAATTTTTCAAAGGAAAACAAACCTTTAAATATTACTATGATCCTTACTGTGGGTTTATTTGTCATTTTTTTTCTTGGCTTCATTTTGATAGTCTTATAACAGACTCATCATGACAGTACAGGGCTGATCAGAGTGGAATTTATCATCAGTACACTGTAATATATTGCAACTCAGGACAATCATTAATCTTTGTTCAAGCTGTGAAAGTAGAAGAAAGAGAGCTAGACCTTACCAGTATAGAATTGTAAACCATTGTGGGAAATTTACTATTGTTTTTATAGTAATAAGTAGAAATAAAATTAATTTGGTTGAAAAAACCTGAGGGTTTTTATCTTCCCCTTTGAGTTATGATCTTTTTGTTCACTATTTAGTGAAATAAACTTCTTTGGAAATGTATGATCCAGTATGAGAAGACAATCTTTTGATCATTGGGGGAAATGACAAGGACATATATGCTCAAGTGGAACAGAGTAGAGATCCAAAAAATAAAACCATGCATCTAAAGCCAGCTGATTCCCAACAAAGGTATGAAAAGCATACATTTGAGAATACATACATTGTGTTGGGAAAACTGTATACTTATATGCAGAAGATTGAAACTTGATTCCTAACTCTTGCCCTATGTGAAAATAAACTCAAAATGTATCAACTACCTAAATACAAGAACTAAAAGTGTAAAAATGCTAGAAGAAAATATAGGGAAAACTCTTTGAGATAACAGTATAGTTAATGTTTCTTTGGTTAGGAACTCAAATGCACAGGCAACAAAAGCACAACTAGATGGGTAAGATTCTATCATACTAAGAAGTTTCTGTCCAGTATAGGAAACAATCAAGAGTGAAGAATTAACCTCTAGAAGAGGAAAAAATGTTAGCCAACCATTCTTCTGACAAAAGATTAATATCCAGAATATATAAGAAAAAGCAAATAATCCAATTAAAAATGGGCCATATGATCTGAACATTTTTTCAAAGAAAGATAAGCAAGTGGGCAATGGTTTGAATCTGAGGAACATAGAATCCACAAAAATTTAAACAAAGGATTTTGGTTGCATTTAGCCACTTGGAGCATGTTTTCTCAGTAGTTTCTTTTCCTTCCTTCCTTTTTTCTTCCTCAAATGTTTATTATATGTTTTTCTTTCTATGCACTGTTTCTAGAGGCTAAAGATAGAAGAAAATGGATATGTGGGAAAAAAAAAGTCTATCTACCAATGAAGTGCCTAGAGTGGGAAAGGAAACAACAATGAGAAAAAATAGTAAAGAGACAACAAAATTCTCATAGTTTTATGTTTTGATTTGGATGGGGGTTTTATATATTACAATACCATGTATTGTACTGTGTTTTAATTGTAGGTATCAAAGACTTTTTTACTTGATGAAGTACTATTTAAAGCTCAGAAGCCTTATGTTCTTTTCTTTGTATAGTGTTCAGTGCATAAATAAAGGAAGGAAAATAATAGATATTTTTTCTTCATATTTTCAGTAATCTGGCTTAATTATCTACGTGATATCTACTGCTGTTATTCCTCAAGACCCTGGAAAATTGGCCAATTTTACAGTTATAATGGGACATTCTAGAGAATTTGATGAAGTAGAAGTTAAGATATGAAAAATGTAAAATTAGAAATATGAATGTGGGATTATAGAGAACAGACAAAGAGGATGAAATAGGACAGCAGAGAGTTAAGAACATTAGAATGTAATGATAGTGACAGAGAGGACAGGGCAGTAGAAGGTAGGATGGCTACAGTGGGTTCATAAACCAAAAGAATCATTCCAGGTTGAAGCAGATTGGAAGCTAAGCAACAATTTAGAATTACTCTCTATTTTACAGATATATAAAAAAGGGAGCTGAAGTGACCTTTCAAAGTCACATTGGGTATTTTCTGAGCTCATCTGAAGAAAGTAGAAGATGAAGAGAGAAGGTGGAAGCCAAGGGGTTAAGAATAAGTCTAGATGTCAAGGCTGGAGGGGAAATGGGAGATGGAGTGGGAGTCCCAGGGTGGTGGCAGGCAGATTTTATTCTCTGGCATGCAATTTGTATGAGGAAGATAATTGTTAGTTGGGAGAGGAAGTCACAACAGAGTACTGAGAAAAAGCGTTGCTGAAGTCAAAGATCAAACACAAGCTCTGAGAGTATCAAGTCCTTTCCTTCAGTAAGATGTTGCACCTGCCACTTGTATTGCTAGCTGCTCTGTTTCCAGGTGGTGTCAGTCAGGATGGTAAGAGTAACTCTGTAAACTCTTGGCACTACTGCAGAGGGTCCAGATAAAGGCAAGCTGCACTTACCCAGGTGCACCTGGACACTAAGGCTCTAAGCCTTCTGTCTCCAGTGCTCTTCCACCATTCTGGAGGTTTCGGCTGGAGCCTGAGATCCTGGGGCTGTGAGGCTTTAAGAGTTCTGCAGACTCTGAGTTCCTGTTTCTTGCATCTTTTCAATATCCAAGCTTTATTTTTCTTTACTATATCTCCTTTTATCTAAGCCATTTTACTTCCTCTCCCACAGATTTCCAGGGGCCAACCTCTTTCCATGTCATCCAAATCTCATCCTTTGCCAATAGCACCTGGGCAAAAACTCAAGGATCAGGCTGGTTGGAGGATTTGCAGATTCATGGCTGGAATTTTGACTCAGGCACTGCCATATTCCTAAAGCCCTGGTCTAAAGGAAATCTCACTGATGAGGAGGTAAAAGAGCTGGAGGAGATATTCCGAGTCTACCTTTTTGGATTCATTGGAGAAGTGCAAGAACGTGTCAGTGAATTTCAGATGGAATGTGAGTCTTGTCCTCAGACCAGGAGGAATTTTCAATGATTTGGTTTCTCTCTTGGTTCAAGACACTGCTCCCTCTGCTCCTTCTTTCTTTCCCACCACCCAAATGCAGGCATGAATTTCTCTAGAGCAGTCTTCCTCTCTGACTCCTCACCTCCATGAAGTATTCCAGGTATGACTGCTTAGGAACTTATCTTTGATAGATGATAGTATCTTCTTCATGAACAACCTCTGGTTTGTTTTATGTGAAACTTGTCCTTACTTTGCTACTCTATGTTTCATTAACCTAAACAGAAGATACCATCTTTAGTTATCCATCTTTTCAACTTTGATCTTTGATTCTGCCTTTCATGTGTTCATCCCATTCCTTCTAGAATGCTAAACTTCATCACCATCTTCCTCGCCTCTTCACTTTCACCACTATACACTTTAAAACCATAGCTCCTGTCTCCATTCATGACATGCCTACCTGTTCCCAGTGCTATTCTTTCTGAAAGTCTCTAAATGCTCCAATTATTTTGGCTCATCATTTTACTTTCTAGACTTTCATCCCTACCCAAAAGCACTATCCTAGACCCTCTTCTCCTCCCTTTCTTTCTTGGTTACTGTTAAATAATTTTCCTTTCTTTTCCTCCTACACAGACCCCTTTGAGATCCAGGGCATAGCAGGCTGTGAGCTGCATTCTGGAGGTGCCATTGTAAGCTTCTTGAGGGGAGCTTTAGGAGGAATGGATTTCCTAAGTGCCAGCAATAACTCATGTGTACCTGCCCCAGAAGGTGGCAAAAGGGCACAGAAGTTCTGCACATTAATTCTTCAGTATAAAGGTATCTGTGATACTGTGGAGAAACTCCTCTTAGAAACCTGCCCCAAATACCTCTTGAGTGTTCTGGAAGCAGGGAAGGCAGATCTGCAGAGACAAGGTTAGTCTTCTATTTCATTTCCCACCACCACTAAGCCTAAGGGTAGGAAGGTACCCAGGAAGGAGAGGAGGTTTCTTCAATAACTTATTTTGTTCTCAAATGAGTAGAGGGTAAATGTCCAAACTTGTGCATTTCTGAGTCCGTATGCTCGAGGTTTAAACTTCTTCCTGCCCTTTCATACCCCAGTGAAGCCTGAGGCCTGGTTGTCCAGTGGCCCTAGTCCTGGGCCTGACCATCTGCAGTTGGTGTGCCATGTCTCTGGCTTCTATCCAAAGCCAGTGTGGGTGATGTGGATGCGTGGTGAGCAGGAGCAGCTGGGCACTCAGAGAGGTGACTTCCTCCCCAATGCTGATGGGACATGGTATCTCCGAGCAACCCTGAATGTGGCAGCTGGAGAGGCATCTGGCCTGACCTGCCGGGTGAAGCACAGCAGTCTAGGAGGGCAGGACATCATCCTCCAATGGGGTAAGAAATACTGGGGCCCAGGAAGATTGTGGTTCTTAACCATGAAAGGGAGTTGGGAAGGAATAAGATAACGGGAGGCAGAGGAAGAAAACATAGGTTGCGAGAAGGGTAAAGTGAGCCAGAAAGGATGGGGAGAAGATGAATGGAGAGATGAGAAAGGACATTTAGAGAAGAAAATACAGAGTTTATCATGGTGGGATATACTTGTAATCTCAGCACTTGGGAGGTACAGACAGGATGATTCAAAGTTCAAGGCCAGCCTGGATTAACCCTGTCTCAAAACAAATAAACAAAAGATACATATTTGGAAAAAAGAAGGCTAGGAAATGTAATATATTAGATGTGAAGTAACATCCTGTATCTTTTTTCCCAATTGTTAGGACACTCCATCTCCATTGGTTTGATAATTCTGGCAATAATAGTGCCTTGTTTGATCTTTCTGCCATGTCTTGCAATATGGTTTTGGAGGCGCTGGTGAGTTTTTTTTTTTAATCTTTCTTTTTTGTCCATTCTCCCACTCTGTTTACTTTTCATCTACTTACAGCACATTAGTTCCCATCTTTTTACCAAAACTTTCCTCCTAACCCCCATCTGTTAGGTAGATCTAATTTAAAGAGAGTGGGGTAAAATACAATACACATAACATAAAATTTGCTATCTTCAGCATTTTAAACTGTGTTAAATACATGCATGTTGTTTGCAACCATTATCACCATCCATCTCTAGAACCTATTTTTCCTTGCAAAATGAATTTCTTCACATTAAAAGACAATCCAAAATTCCCTTTCTTTCCTAGGTGCTGGTAGTGATCATTATTCTTTCTTTCTCTGTGAATTTGACTGCACTACTTGCTTCATATAATTGGAATCATACAGTACCTAGTTATGATTGACTTTTTTCATTCATCAGTATATTCTCAAGATTCAGAATTTCAGCATATGTAAGAATTTCCTTCCTTCTTAATGCTGAATACTTTTCTATTGCATGAATATACACCACATTTTGTTTACCGTTTATCCATCAGTGGACATTGGGTTGCTTCTACCATTGGATATTTTGTGAATAATGCTTCTATGTAGATGTACATGTATCTCTTATACATCTTTCCCTTTTTTCTTGACAGGTCATATCAGGATATCCAATGAACCTTTAACATGTCCATCTTCTCTCCCATTTATAAGTAGCAAAAAGCCCAGAAACTTATGTTGTCAACCCAAGAGTCAATTTTATCATATTTCTTCAAATAATCGTTGGGTTTGATGAAATCAGAGTAACCATACATTTTGAGATAAGACAAAATTTATGTAACAGCAGTAAAATAATTAAGAACTATGTATTTATTTTGAGATAGTATCACTAGTAGTATCAACACAGATTTAATCATTTTAGATGCATATTATGTACCTTTTGTAGCAACTAAGTATTTTGTATTGTTTATTTCATTAATGTTGTATGTTACGCTGATTTTCAAATGACAACACCAAATTATGTGGTTATAACTTATGTTTTGTTTAGAGAGTATATTTGTAGATTCAGTTTGAAAATATTTGATTTTGATTTTGATAACTGTGTTCATTTATTTCTTGCAATGTCCTTGTTGGTATTAAAGACTTTTTGACATAAAATGAATTGAAAAGTGTTTCCTCTGTTTTTATTCTCCAGAGTGTAGCAAACGGTTTATTTCTTTTGGCAAAAATTTGAAAGAATTTACCAGTGAAGCCTTAGGTGTTGGGAAAATTTTTTGGTAGAAGAGTTTAAAATTTCAAGGCCAGTTTAAAAAAAAAATTTAACACTATCCAGGTTGAGTGCTTTTATTTTTACTTTGGATTTGGTATGGTATGTTGTGTTTTCAAGTATTTTGCACAAGTTATCCAGATTGTCCATTTTTTATCAATAGATTGTTCATATACTTTAAAAATTTATTTTATTTTTATTGTACACATTAATGGAATTTACTGTGATACTTTTAGGTGTGTATACATACTGAATTGGTCATGTTAATCTACCCTTCTTTCTACCACCCCCACCCTGAAGAGACACTCTTACTAGTTCCTAGTAACCCCTCTTCTGCTTTTAAGTTTACTTATTATTTATTTGTTTTTTTTTAGTTCTTGCATATGAGAGAGACATGTAATACTTGTCTTTCTGTGTCTGGATTATTTCACTTAGTGTGATGTTCTCTGGTTTTATCAATTTTTCAACAAATAACTGAATTTCATTATCCTTTGTGGCTGAATAATATTCCATTATGCATATATACCATATTTCTTTATTCATTCATCTGTTGATTGATGCCTAGGCTGGTTCCATGCTTGCAGGGACACTGACTCCAAGCATACTGCCTTGTTTTCCTTTGAAATATTGGTGGAAGCCTCCATTGCTCCATAACATTTCATTCTGTATCTCTGCAAAACCAGCATCACATGTATGGTGCCAAGGTCACCACTGACAAGAGCTATTTCTGGGGTCACTCAAACAATAGCTGCAGTAGCCTTGTATTCCTTTGCCAGCTAACCATAGGGAACTAAATTCAAAGGCTGTCACAGGCACTGTTTTGAAATGATTCTTTCCCAGAAAAAATTAAAACATTTATAAAACATATCTGATACAGCTGTAATGAGAAGGAGGGCCTTGGAGATTTTTGAAATATCCTGGGCAAATAGTTTGTGAGATCCTATCTTGATAAAACCCATCACAAAAAAGGATTGGTGGAGTGGCTCAAGGTGTAAGTCTTCAGTTCAAACCTCAGTACCACAAAAAAGTGAAGAGATATCCATTCCAAAAATCGTACAAATTGCACCATAGAAACACAAGAAATATGAAAAAGCAAGGGAATATGACTCCTCAAAATGTTCATATCACCTCAAAAACCAAATCAGAAGATTCTGAAGTGGCTGAAATGCCAAAGAATTGAAAAATATAATTTAAAAAAATGACCAGTAGCATCAAAGAAAATTCAAATAAACAGATAAACAAAGTAAGGAATTCAATTTAAGACTTGAATGAGAAATTCAACAATAGGGTTAAAAAATTAGCAAAGAGAGATTCTGATAGAAGAAAATGCAAATCTTGTAACTGTAAAGACAAATAAATGAAATAAAAATTACAGTGGAAAGCAATATCAATTAAGCAGAGGAAAGAATGCCTATTTTACCACATCACTTTCACAATTATGATCCTTCATTTGCTGGAAAAATAAAAGATATCTAGGGGCTTAGCTCAAGTGGTAGTGTACTTGCCTAGCAAGTGAGTTCTGAGTTCAAATGCCAGTATCACCACCAAAAAATTCTCCAGTATGAAATATATCACTTTTCATAATCATGGTTTGGCAGCTCCTCTTGGCTGGGCTTTTTTCCTTGGTCTATTTTTAATAACCACTGCTAACAAACAATAACTGCCAATACATCCTCCATCTATTTTAACACCAACTGTATAATACTTTTACCATGAAGGATGACATATACCCTTTCATTGTTTTTGTTTGTTTGTTTTATAGCAAAAGTACATGAGATCCTATGCTTTATCTTTCAGATAAAATTTAAAATAAGTATTTCAAGTCCACCTGAACTTTCTATACAAGTAGAAAGCTGTCACTTAAAATAAGACCCATCCTCCCTGAGCAAAAGGGAGCCAAGTGCTCATTCAATTTCTAGCAAAAACACAGGAGGCTGTGTTGAGGGTGCAATTGTCTTAGTTGTGTCTGCTCTGCTTCTTCTGCAAGCCCAATGTTTGTTTTCAGACTTATATACACTCTAGCAAACATTCTGTTGAGAAAGCAGTTACTGGGTTACTATCATACAACCAAATGTGTCACAAGCCTGAAACTCAGTAAAACCAGAATTAATAATTTCCTAATGAATTACCACCTCTTAATGTTTTCATTTATTTATACTATAATATTTGCTGACATCCTCTTATCATTTTACTTCTGTACATTTTTGGGCCTTGGATTTGAAGCCACTGCATATGCACTTTAATTTTTTTTGGAAGAGTTCTTTAAAGAAATTTCTCATCAATAATTGAAAACATTATTTTTTAGTATAGTAATGGATTTGTTAATTTTCAGAAAACATGCTTTTTGTGACATTTTAAGTGTTTTGGAGATATGAGTTAAATGTTTGTGTTCTCTGTCTCTGTGGTCTCATCTAGTCTTCTACAAGTATAGTTTAACCAGCTAATTTGTATAACCAACTTGAATTGCTATTCTAAACCAGTAACCAATAAGCCATGATTTAAAAAGAAATTTTATTTCTTTTCTTTTTATCTCCCTCCTCAGATTTGGATAAAACAATAAGGATTTTAATTACTCTATTAACTTTTTGGTCAAACAATAAATAATATTTTAAATTTTGCAACTACATGTCAACCAGTTATTCTGAGATAAATATATTTTTGGGTAATTTTACAGAAACCATTCTTGCATCATTCCGTTTTTTATTCTGATTAATTTTTGGTTTGACTTTAGTAATTTGATCCTAAAGATGTTTTTTGCATATTCTCTGAGATTTCAGTATTCAAATATAGATTAATTTTCTCTTGTGGAAAAATAATTACCAGTTTTTACAAAGGTGATTTTAGAAATTTTAACATTATCTCCCTTTCATGAGAATTCTGAAATATTTCCCTGTGCATTGTACACGAGGAATGAATCCAGTGTATTTTTCTTTGTAAATAATCAGTATTTATAAAATAATCAGTATTTGAGATTGTTCTTTAAACACGGAATTAAGGAACAATACCAGGATGAGGTTGGGTTTGGACCTTTTCAATAATTGCAGCTACTTTTATGTAAGCACGCTCAATAAGAAAAGTAGAGTCTGCAGTTAGATTTTGTTTTATTTTTCTAAAGGACTCCTATATCTGGAATTTTAGTATCTAGTATATCTTTTGGAACTAGATGGGCTCTCTGAATGAAGATATGAAAACCAAACAGAGGAATGTTATTTCTCAAAAATAAAGATTTGATATGCTAAATAATTCTTCCATGAATTCTTCAGTACCCTAGAGTCACTTCCCTACATCCAACAAAACTATCGTCTCACCAGACCCCACCAAGAGACACAGTGCTCACAGCCACAGTCTGCAATGGGAAGCCTTTGTGCCTGCACTCACTCTGTTTTCTAATCCTCACACACTTTAAGACATGCTCACCTCATTAAGGTAGGAGTAGGTAGATGAGATCCCTGTATATTTCCCTCAGACTACTAGAACATGGGTGAAAATGTCCCTGGAGAGCAGCTTACCAGTTCCTATTGAAGCCCCCTCATAGATCCTTTCAACAGTGATGCTTGGTTTGATTGGGGTAATTGAGCAAAAGTGCATTTAAAAAATTATCTGATAATCTGCATTAATTTGTCATTGCTACTCCTCATCACTATGGTTTGTTGAGATTTGCTGGTGGAATTCATAGCTACATCCAGGATGCCTAGTATCTTCTGATAATGACATAATGAAGAGACAGAGGAGGGTGGGTAGGCAGGAAAGATAGGCAGGACAAGTAGAAAGAGCAAAAGCAGACTCAGAGGCAAAAATAATGGGCAAGTAAACAAAGATAGGAAGACCAAGAAGGGGGAGGAAGGGAGGCTGCAAATTGATAACCAGTGGGTAAACTGCTAGAAGAACCACTGGGCACCATTATATGACTTCTACTTCTTTCATAGATGAAACATTGAGAACCCAACCGTGGGCTTGATTTCTCCAACGCCAAAAGCTACTGACTTTTTTCAGATAGCTGAGACTATAGACTACGTCCAACTATAGGAATCCTTCTATAGCAGTTGGTACAATGGAGGAGGTCAGGAAGATGTAGAAAACAACAGAGCAAAAATCTGAAAGCCAGTTGTGGAAGAAGTGTTTGGAGAAATGAGAGACTTTGTGGGAGGCTGTGGTTGAGGGAGGCAGTGCACTTCTCTGATAAGGAAGTGGGTAGAGGGAGAGGTTAGTCTGTGCTGCAGAGGGAGTGAGGAAGGGAGATGATATATGAGTTCTGAAGGAAGTTTCCTGGACAATATATCAAAGCATCAATGTTTCTCCTGATCCTGTTCTTCAGTGGACTTTTCTGTCATGGGGAAATTAGAGCAGGTAAGAAAAACTCAGGTGTAAAGATGTCTGTAGTTGGCACAGGTGAAGAGAAAACTCTGGGGAGGACCTGGCTTAAGGGAACAGTGATCCTACAAGATGCCCTTGAAGACAGCATTACAGGTAAGTTCCAGGATATTAGGATATGTTCAACCTGTAAACATCTCTACCCTTCCTTTCTACTCTGGATTCTTCTTCTTCCTGCAGCATCTTTTCTCACACTCTGCATTGCTTACTTTTCTCTCTTTCAGCTCCACAGGCTCTAGGATCATATCATTCAGCAACAGAAGAACTCCTCTCCTTCACCATGATCCACATCTTTTCTTTTCCTAACCATAGCTGGGCACAGGCCCAGAGCTCAGGGTGGCTGGGAGAGCTGCAGACTCATGGCTGGGACAATGTCTTGGGCACCTTCCGCTTTCTGAAGTCTTGGTCCCATGGAAACTTCAGCAAGGAAGAGTGGAAGAACCTTCAGGCTCTCTTCCAGTTGTACTTCCATGGTTTCATCAGGGAAGTCCAGGCCTTCTCCAGTCAGTTTCAGTTTGAATGTGAGTTTGTTATTCCAAGCTGATCTTTTTCTGAGGTCTGTGACCATCTTCAAAGGGAAGGCTTGTGTATTGGTTTTACCATTCTCTAACTTTCCTGAACTTTCTCCCTGTCTCTCATTGACTCACAGTCTTTCTTCTTCTTTACCCTTTGCCACCACCTTACCATGCCATATATACAGCAGGGCCTGAATGTTTCTGTCTCTTCATGTGCCTGGATGCATCTTCATGTGTACCTCATGTTCACATGGCCTAACTGTACCTCACCAATTTGAGTATTTCATACCAGTTTCCTGCCTTCTTGACACCCTTCCAACCTAAGATTTCCCTATTAATTATTTCAAAGTACCTTTGTTATTTTCAACTTTTCTTTCCACAAATTTCCTTCCCATTTTCCATTTCAACTCTAATCTTCCATACAATTCTCCAGTCAGTTTTCCCTTTGGGTACCATTACTCTCTAGATTTTTTATGTTCCCTTCCTTTCATTCTTTCCATATTGATTTTCTGTCCATCCTCAGATCCATTTGAACTCCAGATATCAGCTGGGTGTACATTGCATGCTGGGAAAGCCTGTGAGAGCTTCTTAAATGGAGCATACCAAGGATCAGATTTCCTGAGTTTCCAAGGAAGTTCCTGGAAGCCATCTCCAAGAGCAGGGAGTCGTGCTCAGAACGTCTGTACGGTGCTTAATCACTACAAAGATATTAAAGAAATAGTGCAGAGACTTCTCTGCAATACCTGCCCTCAATTTTTGGCAGGTCTTTTTGAAGCAGGAAAGTCAGAACTGGAACGGCAAGGTGAGCCCAACCTTCTATTCCTCCTATTTTTAGTGTTTTTACTCTTGGTTTTAACTTGCTACTTCTCATTGTCATTTTGAAACCCATAATGTGTTTAGTGGGAGAGATACTTGGTTTTAGGATTGCTTATTAGAAAAAAGAAAGAAGTGATCAAACTGGTAAGACATCCACATACCTGAGCTCTAGTTTAAGACACTATCTAAACTTCCATTTCTCCCTATCTTCTCCTGTCTAGTGAAACCTGAGGCCTGGCTATCCAGTGGCCCCAGTCAATGGCCTGGCAGTCTGCACCTGGTGTGCCATGTCTCTGGCTTCTACCCAAAGCCTGTGCGGGTGATGTGGATGCGAGGTACACAGGAGCAGTCAGGCACTAGGCGAAGCGATGTCCTGCCCAATGCTGATGGGACGTGGTATCTCCAAGCAACCTTGGATGTGGCATCTGGGGAGGCAGCTGGTCTGTCGTGTCGAGTGAAACACAGCAGTCTAGGAGGCCATGATATAGTCATCCACTGGGGTGAGAAAGACCTGGGGCCCATGTGGAAATGATGGAAGACCATCCTAGGGATTTTGAGTGAGAATCTGGGGAAATGGGTAGGAATGCAAGACACAAGAATGATATAAGAGGAAGAATCCAAAGAAATAAAGATAGAGAATGACAGCATTAAATGTGATGAAATTAGAAGTAGGGAATTAGAGGTACTAAAAGAAAAGAAGGAGGGAACTATTGCTTTTGTGGAAGAAATTTGAAGGAAGATCAGGGACACAAACTGAGGGAAACTGGAGCGAGAGTCACAAGGAACTCCTGTGTTTCAAGGCTGAGAGAAACCCTACCTTTGATAGAATATGGACATTTCATGGGCTAACTTGCTTCTTTTATCTCAACCAGGTGGATACTCCATCCTCCTAACACTGATGTGTCTCACTGTCATGGTCACCCTGGTCATGCTGGTTATACAGGGCACATGCTGTAGAAAGCAAAGGTGCTGCTTTTCTTGTTCTTTTTTTCCTTCAGCCTGTCAAATTGTTATTCTTTTATGTACTTTCCTTTTTCTTTCCCCCTTTTTCTTACAATTCCCCTTGTTTGAGATTAAGTTCTTTTTCTTTTCACACAGCTCAAAAAAGAATGTCCTCTCTCCCCATATAACCAATGCTGCCTTTCCCATGGGAGCCAACACCCAGGACCCTAGGAATCCAGCACATCAGCTCTGCTTGGCACAAGAAACATGGATCAAAACCAGAATATTGAAGTTGAAAATAAGCTTAAACCAACTCTGGGTGACATGAGTTTACCTTGTTCATAAAATTCTTGTCTGCTTCTTAAATATCATTCTATTTACTAAAGATAATACAATTTCATTCAAACTGCTTGTTCTTCAAAGAGATTGAAACCTTTGGGAATCTGTGCTTTTCATCTTATAGTAGTACATTTTCTTCTTTAGTTACAAGTTCATTATCCTTTGTTTCTTTATTATTACTGTTTCCCAGATAGCCTAATTGATAGCTCTTCTGTACTTTCAAAATTGGATGAATCTTCCTCAACAAACTGATCTTTTACACTCCTAATCAGGCATCAAGAATTTTGCTCTTCTTTTCTGTCATATGCCTGAAAGCAGGATTTAGGTGTATGTACCTGTGCAGCTGTGCAGAGTTGCATGCCATAAGGCACACATCTAGGTTTAGTTATCCACTATTGTCATAATGAACTTCATCATTTCCAACAAGAGACACTGCATTTTCATTTTGTACCAACCTCATGAGTTATGTTACTGGTTGTGCCTGAATGTAACATTTTTCAATAAATGTTGACCAAATTATGCTTATTATCAGATAAAGTGATATTGTGTTGTTCTATTCTCTCATTGACATCACTGCATAATTTGACTATGATAGTATTAAATTGGTTCCTCCTTCAGTTGTGTCTCAGCAGAGGTAAGGAGGTAGGCTAAGTGCCTCAGACTCCACAGATAACTGGAGTGTCTATACATCTTCAAAATAAGTAAATAAAATAATAGTATTATTATACTATTACAATAATAGTATGATAATAGTATCCTCACCTGTCAAGTGAGGTCAAGTGAGGATAGGTTTGAATTGGCATATATACTTCTAAGATATGGTATGTATCTTGGTTGATGAACATGTTCAGGGGAGAAATTTACATTTTGAGCATTTTAGAAGAGTGTATTGGGTTTGCGGACAATTTTAGTGGACAAAGCCAGAGGAAGGCAATGAGAAACTGAGTGGCTTAATTCCAGTTTTACTGTATTTTTTTAAATTTGGGCTCTTTATCATCATAAAATTTTATTCTTTATATAGTTTATTGAATTATCTAATTAATTTAGATGAGATACATTTCAGTGAGCTTTTTGGGGAGTAGGAAGGTATTAGGATAAAGAGTCATAAATGTTCATTTAACTTCTTTTTTGAATGGGATAATTGAGAAAATTGGTAAATTTCTTAGTAAAAGATTATAAATCCATATGAGGCATTTTCACATTATCCACAGTATTCCATAATCACTTATGCAGGTTATATTCTTACTCATGATGAAAGTGTTGAGGCCTCCCTTCCAGTGTTAAGAGTCCATCACCTTCAGTGTGACATATTCAGATAATGTATCCAGAGGCATCCTCCACAGTCTAAAAAGAAAGGTGAAATTTTGAAGGTTTGTTTGGAGCAGTAAATGATGAAAGCCAAGCTTCCTTTATATGGATCCACATAGATAACTTCTAAAAATGAATAGGTTCAGAATATACAGGAAGCTCAAAAAAACTAAACTCTCAAAAAATCAGTGACCCAATGAAGAAATGAGCAAATGAACTGAACAGAGCCTTTTCAAAGGAGGAACTCCAAATGATGAAAAAAACACATGAAAAATGCTCACCATCTTTGGCCATAAAGGAAATGCAAATCAAAACCACACTGATTCTTCCTTACTCCTGTTAGAATAGCCACCATCAAGAACACAATAACAAATGTTGGCAAGGATGCAGGGAAAAAGGAACCCTCATACACTGCTGGTGGGAATGTAAACTAGTACAACCACTATGGAAAACCGTATGGAGTTTCCTCAAAACACTAAAAATAGATCTGCCATATGATCCAGCAGTACCACTCTTAGGGATATACTAGAAGGGACATGAGTCAGGTTACAGCAAAGGCACCTTCACACCCATGTTTATTGCAGCACTATTCATAATAGCTAAGCTATGGAAACAGCCAAGATGCCCCACTACTGATGAATGAATTAAGAAAATGTGTTATTATATACAATGGAATTTGATTCAACCACAAAGAAGAATGAAATTTTGTCATTCACATGTAAGTGGGTGGAAACTGGAGAACATCATCTTAAATGAAGTTAGCCAGGCTCAGAAGGCCAAAAGTGACATACTCTCTCATATGTGGAATATAGACCTAAAACAAATGAAGCAATATTATGAAATACTGGTCACACTAGGAGAGGTCACATATGAAAGGGGTTGGGTAAAAGAAGGAAACTAAGAAGTTGAATATGGTTGATATACTCTCTATACAAGAATGAATATAGAAATCTTAAACTGGCTGAAACCACCATAGGAAAGGGACTATGGCAGAATGAAGAAAATTAGAGGAGATAAACAGTTTCCATGTATATAATCCATATATACATGGAAATATCACAATGAAATTCCTTCTGTGGCTACCTTTATCTCAAAAAGCAAAAATATCATTTTTCCCTTTTTATTCTACAACATAGGAGAACAGGAGGGCAGAACAGATCCTGCAGAGAGTGGGGAGCAAGGATTGGTACTAGTGGGAAGGGGGAAATGGTGGGAAATAAGGGTAAGAGGGTGAATACGGTACAAAAAATGTGTACATGTGTATGTGAATGCAAAAATGATGCCTGTTGAAACTGTTCCAGGAATGGAGAGGGTATAAAGGGGAACAGTTGAGGGGATGAATTCAAGTATGATGTGTGTTTGATTCATTATAAGAATTTTTGTGAATGTCACAATGTACTCCTTTAGCACAACAATAAGGAAAAAATAATTATTTTAAAGGAAATGTAAAATTTTGACTTTATACCATATTAAAATTCCTTGGAAAATTAAATAAAAATGAATCTGTTAAACTAGGGACCTTTCAGTTCTGGCACAAGGTATGTAGTAAAACCATACTGTTAATGCTTTCCATTTGAGTAAAATTATCCATTAGTCTAGTTTTTTGGTCACAGTAATTCATGGACCCCAGATCAAGACAAATTTAATGGTTCAATGTCCAATATTTCCCCTACTACATATTATGTTTCTCTGACTCTTGATTTCTTTCTGCCCTTCAACTCTGTCTTGCATCTCAGGTCAAGTGCCTTCTCCAGATAGAGAGCTTTGTTAAGCAGTCTAAGTAGCGCATTCCACTCAGTCATACTTCATTACAATACTCTTTATTTTGAATACTTAATTTAGTTATAATCACGTATTCATTTTAAATATTTATTCCCTTTTCATTAAAAATATAATCAGTGTGATATCCTGAATTTGTTTTTGATTAGAGTCATATCCTCTTGCTTATACTATAAATTTTTAAAATATTTTTGTTGATTGAACAAATAATATTAAACTTTGATTTGCCAGAGATTTTTTTAATGACACCAGTCTCTCTCTCTCTGCCATACAATCACGCCACAGATTTCCACACAGTGACATATCACCAAAGTGCTGGTGTGCCTAAAAGATGTGGGTAGATAATTGATGCTGTTCAAAAGTGCTAAAGAGCCAGATGTAGTGACACGTGGCTATAATCCCAGCATTTGGAAGGTTGAGGCAGGAAGACTGTGAGTTTGAAGCCAGCCTGGACTGCATGGTGAGACTTTGACTTAAAAAAAAAAGAGAAGAAAAAAGATGCCAAAATGTTAACTTTTAATTCTCTCTTTTCTTCAGGATACTGCCATTCTATGTATGACAAGAAGCTTAAATACAAATATAATTGAGGAAGGAGGTAGGAGATTCTAGAGCATTTTTTGCTACTTTGGGTTTCTCTTCTGTTCTACTGGTGATCCCCAGGGACTCTCCTAGGGAAGAATGACTATTGTGTACGGTGATTTTCAAGGAATCTCCAGGTTCCTGAATTAAAAAACTAAATGATTTCTATTTATCCTTCTAAATTTTAGTTGAAAAGTTGGCATAGATTTTGGTGAAGTACAACATACACCTCCTACAACAGGTGGGTTTAGGCTTCTTGTATATATGCATTCTTCCTTTTCATAATGTTGGCACAGATGGATTCAAAAAGAGCCTGAAGACATACTATTATTTTACAAGAGATGATAGCTCAATAGAACTTGAGAGAGTATTAATTATTAATATGGGATATTATGAGAAAATTCCGATATAATACTTACAATATAGACCTTTGGTCTGAAAAATTTCATTAAACTGTGGGTGAGGATCCAGTATTAAAGAACAAAGTATTACATCCAATCACATCAGGAGAGAGGTGCCACCCAGAATGGTTAACTTTATTATTGTGGCTTGAATTCTGGAACAAAGTACTTAAATGTTTTTCCAGTAGTTAGCAATAGCATTTTTAAGCCTACCACAGGTATAAAATCAAGAAGGTAATTTGTTGACAATATGAAGTTGGATCTTATAGTGTTCTATTGAGAACACAAATATACTAGAATTATATAGGACATGAATTTAGAAAGAGATGGACGGTTGATTGTTGGTAAATTTCTCTAGAAATAGCACTCTTTGAAGGGAGACCACAGTACAGCTGGTGGAACCAGATTGTGCTGGGGCCAGGGCTCAGAAGCACAGTCACCATATTCTCTCATTAACCATGCCCTTGCAAAAAGCCTTTCTGATATCTTCTTCCTAATGAATGAGATAAGCTGGGGATGTGGAAAGTTAATAAAATGGAGAAGTATGAACTGAAATTTGTAAGTCTGGCTTTCAAGTTTATCACCTGCAGATAAACAAAGATAAGTATGTGACACCTGTTCTAGAGGCTGTAGTCAAAGGAAAAAAAAAACCAGTAATTCACAAGTTTGCTTCTTCAGGTTACCCACAGAAGATACTGAGAGATTTTGGAAACTTAGACTTTGCCCTGATGGAATTAAAGGAATCCTTTCTCGTTCACTACTTCCCCATTCTCATTTTCTTCTGTAAAGTCTCCTCATTTTATTAGTCTCCCAAGATCAAAGGTTTTTTTTTTCCATCTGCTTCACTGTTCTTCCAGAAAGCCTCTTTTACAAGTTGTTCTATATCACAATCCCTCTTACTTGATCCTGATCCAAGTGTGGA